CCAGCACCACCACTGCCACTGAGAAACGCTGCCTCAAGCCTCACACTGCTGGGCTTCACCGCTCAGTGGCAGCAGTGGCACTGGGGCTGAAGTCGAGGCCTGGGGGTGGTGGCAGTTGGCTGAGAAGGCCAGCTGAGTGCAGTTAGAGCAACAAGTTGAACCCTTATCTATAACACTGGGTAAAAATGGTTTGTCAAAAAAAAATGGTTTTTTACGTTTTATAACACAATCCTGTTGAGAAGTAAACTCTACTGACTTAAACAGTACTAAGTCCAAATTAAGTGAATGTCTATAAGATTGCAGCCATACATGATGTATATGTAGTCTACTACATGTTAAAGTAGTAAATACATTTAGGTTTAATAAGAAAACAACTATTGTATCTGTTTCATTTCCCCACCCACCTTGCAATTTCACTGCTTATTTAGCAAGAAGGTGTTTTCTTCAACATCTAAACATATCTAAAACTGTTCTCTCAGCATTACGCCTTCCATCAGTAGTAATACATGGAAAATATTACACCTCGATGACAAAGATAATTTTTAGAACCTTGTGGCTATATCTGCAAAGTTTAACATGTTCTGTTCGCATTGCAATGCTTGATCTCAGTACCATTTATCCAGAGAACTTTTATAATGCAACTTAACTCTTCAGTAGATTCAAAATGCAAGACAGGAGAAAGCAATAAATAAATTAATAAAGGCAAAAGCAATGTCACTATCAGTATGTGTGAGATTATCTCCCCAAAACAGTGCCTCAAACAGGAATCTATTCCCTGCAACAGTTAAACACCACCCTATCGCAAGAATAATAACGGCAGCTTATTATCAGCACCTAGGCTGAAAAATGCATGTTGGGAAAAAGAGAAACTTTTTAGTTGAGAACTTTCCATTTCAGGGACTCTATGAACCAGGAGACACCAATACTCTACCTGCTTTTGCATAGCCAATTATTCCACCGGAAGCTACTAAAGCCGCGTAGCCAAAGCCAATCCAGTCCAATCTCATCCTGAAACATAACACAACATTTAAGCTGCAATCATATTGATGGTGATCAGGGAATAAATCCCACTCAGACTTATCTTCAAGTTAGACATGCTCTAATTAGTGGAAATCCTGAAAGCTAAATGACATTATCTTACATGTCCTTGACTCTTACAATTATCACTTGAAAATTTCACCTTGGCAATTAAGATTACCAAAGTTACTGTTCTGCCTTTTACTTGTCTACAGCATATGGAAAACCTAAAAAATCCCACCCCCATTTCTATCTATAAATGCTTCTGTGCTTTAAGATGGATATTTAAAAGACAGCCTCTATGTCCTTGCTTGCTGCTTCTATTGCTTGAGGTAAAGTCTTTAGGCCAGTGTTTCTCAACCTTGGCAACTTTAAGAGGTATGGACTGGAATTCTGGGAGTCGAAGTCCACACCTCTTAAAGTTGCCAAAGTCGAGAAACACAGGTTTAGACAATCTCAGATTCACTAACTATTCTGAAAAAAATCAGTCAGTTTGGGTTAGTGTTTTGCCATACTGTACATGGTTTCTGTGGAGAGCAATAAACCATTCAACTTTGTATGCTGAGAAAACAGGATAAGCCATGTAATTAGGTAGGGATGTTTTGAATATGCTTTATGTATATGCTTGATTAAACACAAAACACTGGAATTATATTCGCTTAGACCAGTGTTGTCCAAACTTGGCCACTATAAGATGAGTGGACTTCAACTCCCAGAATTCCCC